CTCTCTCTCTCTCTCTCTCTCTCTCTCTCTCTCTCTCTCTCTCCTTCTAGTCCCTAGACTTCCAACAAGACTAAGGAGCCCACCATGGGCAGGCAGAGTCTCTTCAAGTGAATGACATGAAGGTCTGCTCCCATGGACAATTTGGACCACATCTGCTGTCCTCATTGCTCTGTGAGATCTAAAGAAGTTCTGGACTATGCACCTCTTAGCTTTCCGTCACTCCTGGTTCCTCCAACTTGCCCCACAGGAAAGTTTACACAGGGCTTCCTGAGCCTTCCTCTATTTTATCTCTGTTGCATGCCCAGGACAGGGTCCTCCTTGAAGTCCCTTTCTTATTATCTGTCACGGATACACTCATAAGTAACTCATCCCATTTCCCTTTTCCCCTTGGCTGTCAGGAAGCTCTGCCTGAAATTCTGTATTCAAGTGTGGTTTCAAATTTCAGTGCATTTCTTCCTACACGACACACACTGCCTCAAATCCTGCTTTGGCACCCCCACCCCCTGCCAGCCAGGACGTGTCCATTTCCCAGAAGACAGATGAGCTTGTATTAGAGGATTCCTGACTAGAATGGAGCCTGCCTGTGTCTCCCTCCAACATCTTCAATGACATTTTCCTTTTCTGAGCTCACAGAAGAGAAAAGACCGATAGAAAAGAATATTTCTGACAGCACTTTAGGCTGGAAACAAGTGTGGGCAGGCAGGTTGAAAGGATCCAAACCTGTGCCTTTATGGTGGTTGTTCTGGCTGCTTGGAAATTGGAGAGTTTCCAAGTTCTGCCCGTTGGGATTTCCCTTTTTCTGAGCCCCTGCCTGGTGCAGACTTCTGGAAGCACATGGAGACCCCTAACACCCAGCTGGGCAGGATGAAGAAGGGGACTGGAAGGGGCAAGCATCTCCAGCTGGTGGGAGGGGGTGCTGACCTTTCAGCAGGACCCTCAAGGACAGGTAGGATGAAATGAGGGAGAGACAAGCGAGCCCAGTGGAGGAGAGTGGAGTCCAGCGAGCTTCAGGCAGGGCTGGGTGTGTGATTTAAGCCAGGCTGATAAGCCCATTGCACACACCTACTGCTGTCTGTGTAGAATACATAGAAAGGTCTCCTGGGAATCCCTGACACTTGGGTACCGGGTTTAACTCGTGCATCCTTCTTGTTCAAGGAGTGTTTGCTAAGTGAATGCGTGAAGGAAGCAAATGCAAAATCATGTGAAGGTAAGGAAATCACTTCTTTCATTTCCTCAGCCTGAGTTGCCTGCCCTGTGTGATGATGGTTTGAGGTCTGAAATGACACAGAAACACTGCATCTCTCATGCTCGCTGGGCTATTTCTGGGATCCCTTAACCTTCTCGGGTTTTTGTCCTCCCTGTCTGCCTTGGCCACTTCCTTTCCACCTCCTAATCCCTGACTGTCCTCCAGGGGCTGAGAGTGAGAATCCCACAAATCTATGGGGTCAGCTACAGGTCAAGGAGAGACTAGGGGCATCCCTCCACCCAAGGATGAAGGCATGCACCCCACAAGCCTGGGTGATCAGGAAGCTACCCAAGTTGTCATGCCCAGCACGTACATCACCTTCTGAGCTCTCCATGAGGGAGAAGAGATGAGACCTAGTCTAACCCAAGATCCCCTTCCTCTCCCCTGGCCTTCCCTTCCTCTCTCTCAGGCTCTCTCAGTCCACCACTCTGCCCTGGCCCCTGGCCACCCCATGATGGTGTGCTGGGGCCAAGGTGGCTTCTCACAGATCACTTCCCCGTTGACCTGCAAGTGGCTGTGGCTGAGCTGAGCTAAGGGGCAACAGGAGCAGTGGACTAGGGTTCACTGCATATTTTGTTTCTGCTTTCCTGCTTCAGACTTGACTGAACAACAGAACCCAGCATTCCCAGACCAGCCTGGAGCTACTCCTCAGTGGGAAAAAAAAAATCCTAGCTCTGCTCTCTGCATCTGCTATTAGGGCAACTGCTTTAGATTAAAGGCCTCCTGGTCCAGTGATTTCTACCCTCTAACTTTGGCTCGGGTCCAGGGGGGGATTTGGGCCTAAAAGGAAGTATCTTAGGATTCCAAGTCAAGATTCTCAGATCCAGGCCAGGGTTACTCCAATTTTTCTGCCTCTGAAGACCTTGGACGTTTAGGAAGCATTTCTGGTGTACTTGGCAGGGGAACTCTGGTGACCTCGTCACAGGGAATTGCACTGCTAACTGGAAGGTAGCTGTTCAAATCCACTGGTTGCATGATGGGGAAAAGGTGGACAAACATCTTTTGTGTGATTTTACAGTCTTGGAAACCCACTGGAGGGTCAGCTGTGAGTCGGTTCCAACTCAACAGCAGTGAGAGAGTGGGAGGTGCGCTTGGCTCTCGGTTCCTCATTTTGACCAACCCCTTTTACAACTGAGGGCCTGGGCCTCAGGGGGCAAATGACCACCCACAGTCACACAGTATTTAAGTCAGCATCCCCTCAGCATCCCATGATCATGCAGAGAATCAGGGCCTCATCCTCCAAATGCCCCCAAACCAAACTCATCACCATCAAGTCGGTTCTGACTCATAGCGACCTGACAGGGCAGAGTGGAGCTGCCCACGGGCATTCCGAGGAGTAAACCTATACAGAGTACAGACTGTCTCTTCATTTCCCAAGGAGCAGCTGGTGTGTCTGAGCTGTGGACCTTTTTGTTACCCTCTGGATGTTTTTATCACTATGCCATTAGGATTCATTAAACCTGGCCCTGGCTACTTCATGTTCCTAAAAATGGAACACAATGCCTCCCCACCCTTGCACTGCCCACTGCATTTCACTCTTGATGGTTTCTGCTTCCTAGTTTCAGTCTTCTGTGATTCACACCAGCCAGAGTGCTTCACAGTCCTGCCCGCAGCATTCTTTCCAGCACTCTCAGCTGTCTGAACCTTCCTCCCCTAGTCCCTGCTCTTCCTGGGGACAATCTTAATTCCTCGCTGGCCTGGGAGGCTGGGAGGACAGTGAGGACTCCTCCATAGCACCTCCCCTGCCTGGGCCTCTCCCACCAGTTCCACCAGAGAACTCAGTAACTAATCCCCTGGTGAAGACACAGGTGGGTCCCCAACAGGCTTCCACTCATTCCTTAAACATATCCTGAGCCTCCTCTGGGCCCAGTATGGATCCAGCCTTCAGCGCTGCCTCTTGTTTATCTGCACAACAGCCCACCAAGTGGGCAAACGAGAAACAGACTCCAAGAGGTGAAGGGATTTGCCCACAGCCACAAGCTCACATTAGCAGAGAAGAGATTTCAATTCAGGCCTTCTCATCCTTTGGGCATTAATTGCCCCCGGATCACAGCGCTGCCTCCAGTCCTCTTGTCTTCTCCGGCTTCCCATGGCATCAGCATCCAGGATCTCTGAAGGGCTTGAGAACTCTCTGTCATCGCAAATGAGGGGTCTGGTTGGGGCTTCAGGATCTTTATAGCGCAGAGCTTTGCCCAGGCACCTCATAGGCTCCAGAGGGGTAGGTATTACATGCAGCAGCTGGAGGCTGGGGGTGGCCTGAGGGTCCCCAGGCAGGAGGAGAAAGCACATCAAAGCCTTCTAGGGATTTGGGGTCCAGCAAGTCCTGTCTGACCCTCAGCCTGGCTCAGCCCTCACCCATGGAGGAGAATCCAAGCCCTCCCACAGCAGCTCCTCCATGCCTCTGTTAGAAAGTTCTTCTGTCAGCTATCCTGAAATCTGCCTTCTTCCTGCTCCTCCCATGCCAGGCCCTCCACACAGACCAAAGCCTCCAAGGATGGAAAACCCTAGGTGCTTCCTAACCACTTCCTAACCAGCCTCCTGAATTTTCTCCAACCCCCCCCCCCGAACCTGACTTTCTGGAGACTCACCCAGAGAGAATGCCCAATGCCCAAGGTTGCTGTCCTCCAGACACCAAGCAGAGCCCTGACGGCCCTGCCTGTGATTGTGATTGAGCACCCCCTGCTGGCCGTACAGGGGCACAGCACCTGCTTCAGAGTTCACGGCCCCTCCAGGCACCTCCCTAGCCCACCCCCAGGCCAAACAAAGCATCAATTCCTGCCATCAAGTTAATTCCTTATAGCGCAGAGTAGAACCACTTTGTTGAGTTTTGGGGGCTGTAGATATTAACAGGAGCAGAGTCTTTCTTCCACGATGCCGTTGGTGTGTTCGAACCCACCAACCTTTTCATTAGCAGCTCAACACTTAACCCGCTGCACCACCAGGCTCCCTTACCCCACGCCAGGAAGCCTAAAACCCTCCATAGGCCCAGAAGGCATCTGCCAAAGCAGAACACTGAGCCAGGGCGGGGGGTGCTCTTACTTGATCTCCGTCTGGCCACCAGCCTTGCGGGCGATCTGCACCAGCTCCTTCCCGTACCGCTCCTCCGCTTGGGCCCTGCAAGAGCCAGACGTGGGCGCTGAGTCCCAGGTTCTTATGGCTGTGGGCCCTACCAGCCATTTAGGAACAAGCATTGCTCGGCAAGCCCCTCCCTCTGAAAAGCAAACCGCTGTCCCTTCTCTAAACATACAGTGCCACATACACGTGAGAGGGCATCAAGTTATTTATTCACTTGTTGTTGTTGTGTGTCATCAAATCAGAACCGACCAGGTAGCTGGCTCCTCCAGCGGGTTTTAAGAAGCAGTAAATCACATGGGAGGAGATTGCCCATCCTCCCACGGAGCAACTGGTGGGCTTGAACCCTGACCCTTTGGGACAGCAGCACATTTATTCACTTGCCTCCCCCCCTCCTAAAAACTGGAGGAGATCTAGATCTGGAGACAAAATAAGAGTGAGTCGCTCACATTTTTGGAGGCAGTGTGCTCTGGGTGGCTGGAGTGGAGAAGGCAGGTTGGCCCCTTCCTGAGGGGCCTGGTGGAGGCACTGAGCTAAGCCCAACACTCTCTCATAAGAAAGGAGTTGCTGGGCGGTGCACATTGTCAACCAAAAAGCTACAGGTTCGAGTCCACCCAGAAGTACCTCAGAAGAAAGGCCTGGTGATTTACTTCTGGAAAATTTTACGGAGGCCGTTCCTATGACACACATGGGGTCATCATGAGTCAGAGCCAACTCAATGGCAACTGTGTTGTTTTATCTTCCCTCATGATTAAAACACTCAGAAAAGCAGGAGCAGAAGGCTAACTCCTCAACATGCGAAAGAGCTGTTAGGAAAAGCCCATGGTTAACACCATGCTCAACAGAGGAGACAGAGCTTTGCCTCCAAGATCAGGAACAAGGCGAGGGTCTGTTCTCACCCCTCTTCTTTAGCACTGAGCCTTCTAGCCAGAGCAGTGAGGCAAGAAAAAGAAATAAAAGGCATCTAAAACGGGAAAGCAGCAGCAAAACCATCTCTATTTGCAGACGACGCAATCCCTAAATAGAAAACCCCAAAGAATTTACAAAAACGTTGCTGGGGCTAATAAGTGGCTTCAGCAAAGGTGTGAGGAGCAAGGTCAGTCAGCTCACAGAAAGCCAGATCCCGGCAGCGAGCGCCCACCTCTGCCGCAGCAGGTCCTCCATGTCCTTGCACATCTTCCTGCCGTCCAGCAGCCTCTGCAGCAGCACCTCGTAGCCCATGTGGGCTGTGAAGTCCCTGCACTGCAACACAGGACAGAGGGCACATTAGGACCACAGCCAAGTGGGGCGGGGGGCTGAGCACAGTCTAGAGAGGCCCCCTCCCTTCTGCCGCCATCTCCCTTGTTCAAGGTCAATCCCTCAGGTCTCAGGACTTGAGACTTGAGGCACAGAGTTGATACTCTCCAAGTGTTCAGGATGCTGATGCATGAGTGAGTCCCACCTGCTGGCTGGGCAGAGGGCACAGTGTCAGGAGGCATCAACTCAGGTAGAAAATGACACTGCTGAGGGCCAGTAACAACAGCCAACACAAACCCAACCCCAAAAATCCATTTATTGGCTGTCTGGTGTCACTCATGTCATCCTCTCAATCACCCTATTGAATGAGGAAGCTGAGGCACTAAGAGGTGATGTGTGGCCATGCCCACGGTCACACAGCTGAAAAGTTGCAGGACTGGAATTGAACCAGGCTGTTTGCTTCAAATCTATGCTCTTAACCTGAAAGCCACATGGCCTCTATAATGAGCATAGCAATGATTGCGTCTTCCACTCTGACTATGTCCTAGGCTTCACACTGGCCTCTCCCAATGGCCTTGCTGGTCTTCCCACACCAGCTCTGAGAGGTTTGCATAAAGGGTGACTTCAGCCGGGACCAATGCACACTCGGAGCCGCCTGATCAGAACACTCCCCAACCAGCTCTGTGTGGACCAGACAGATCCCATTTGTTGGCCTGGGTTCTGGGTATTTCTGGGCTCTTGGAAGTTAGGTGATGCTCAAGGACTATGAGGGGACAGATGATCTCACAGGGCCTCCAACACTCAGGAGCGGGCCACTCTCAGCTCTTTGGGCATCTTCCTCTCAGAGCTTCTTCCAGGAGTCAGGTCCTGGGAGAAGGTATGAGATATGATGCTGAGAGAAAAGGTTCTGCCCGTTTTTGTGGAGACAACTCCCAAGGCCCCAGATACTCGGCCAGCATTCTCACTTCACAAGGTGAACTCAGGACCTGCTCTGAAAACCAGCACCTATTTCTCTCTTTTCAGTCCCCTACAGACCCAAATGAACCAGAGACTGAGCACAGAAATGCCTCACAGCTCCATCTACAGAGCCCAGGAGATCTGGGCCCCACACACACTTGGGGCGGGGGGGGGGGGGAGGTGTTTAGGGGGCAGATCTAAACCTATTTCAAAGGCAAAAGCAGCTCTCTCGCTCCCTTTCCCCTTGTCCTCCTTGCCTTCAAGTACAGTGATATGAATATCTGAGGATCAAAATCAAGGAAAGCTTCCGGAAGGAGAGGCATTTGAGCCAGGGGAAAGAGAAGACGGTATTGAAATTCATACACAATGGGAAGAGAAATAGGTATGTAACGGGCCCCAACTGGCTCCACGCTCAGCAAACTCAAAACTTGTAGAATCTGCAGGCCTAACACTCTGAGCTCACGCTGCCTTTGAATTCCCTAGGAATTCCTGATACTCAGCTGAGCCCAGGTGACGGGCAGGGTGTCTGGGTCCAGATCATCCTGGGCTGTCTCCCTTTTCCCCCACTCTGGCCTGTCTGGAGCATGTGACAGCTCCAAGTGCCCAGGATTCTGTCTGTGGCTCTCGTGTGTGGCCACTTGCTCTTTAACCAGCATTGGACCCAGATTCCTGCCCCTTGGCCACTGCCCTTTGACCCCTACCCCTCCTCAAACAGCAAGCCATCCAGGACCCCACAGCCCTCAGGAAGACAGAGAGAGGAGGCTTGACCAAGGGTCAGAAGATAGAGTCAGGACAAGAATATGGACTACTGGAGTCTATTGTCCATGAAGCCTCAGACAGCAGGAGCTCACTGGAGACAGCCCCGCGGCAGGCACTGCACCCCCCACTTGGCCCACAGCAGCCCAGAGACCCCGAGTGGAAATGAAATTAAAAGCAAACCTACATTGGCCATTCTGAAGGAGGCTGAAGACCTCTGTGAGCTGGTCCCAGGGTGCTTACATCTGAGGCTGAGCTTTCCCAGCCCCTGTTCAGAGCTAAGCTGTCCTATCAGGGGCTGCAGCCCAGTGAGCCATGGTCACAAGTGGCCCTGCTGTTCCGAGGAAGTGCCTGACTCCCTGGGGCCTGCCCAGGATTCTTCCTCAGCTCCCTCCCCCAGCCTGCACCTTCCACTACCCAGTCACCTCCTGACTCATTGCTCAGAGCTCAGCATGCTGTAGAGGAAATGAGGGAGGGTGGAAAGGAAGGGATAAACTAACCACTCAATCGATCAGACAGTCCTGCAGGGCCTCACTCAGATCCAGCACCAGAGGCTCTTCCTACAGAATGCCATCCTAGTCTTCACATCTCCATTCTCCAGGCCCTCAGGGGACCCTGTCTATCCTCCTCAGATGAGCATTTCCACCTTTAAGCTCTCACCTCCTCTTGTCCACCCTCAGCCTCTGTCACCTGAAGCCATGACCCTGAGCTTGGTGAAATCACCATGGATTGAGTCCACCTACTGTACCCTGCATACCTGCATCACGGCTGGTTATCTTATTTGGCACCAGCAGTCAGGAAATCAAAAGACAATTTGTATTGGGAAAAATCTGCTGTTAGGGACCTATCCAGAGTACTGAGAAGCAACGTTGTCAGTCTAGAGGCTAAGGTGCGCCTGATCCAGGCCATAGTCTTTGCAATTACTTGCTATGTGTCAGAGAGCTGGACAATGACTAATGATGATAGAAGAATTGATGCCTTTGAACTGTAATACTGAAGAAGAGTCTTGAACATACTATGGACCATCGAGAAAACAAATAGGTCTGTCTTAGAGAGGGTGAAATCAAGTTTCTCCTTGGAAGGTAGTATTGTGAAGCTCTGTCTCACATATTTGGGCATGTGGATGAGAGGGACCAGTCCTTAGAGAAAGACATCATGCTTGAAAGAGTGGAAGGATAGCATAGGAGAGGAAGATCTCAGATGAGATGGATTGATACAGTCATTGGCGTGATGGGAATAGGTGTGTGGATTCAGTGAGACAGGCTCAGGACAGGACAGGCTTCAGAGCTTTTGTACATGGGGTTGCTATGAGTCACGGGCATCTTGATGGCACATAACAATAGCAACAACAGAACTGCAAAGGAGAGATGGTAACCTCAAGAAGTGATTGCCCAAGGTCGCACAATTGGTAAAGTGCAGAAATTGGACGGAAACTCAGGTTAGCGTGTCCTCAAAATGGCATGACTCTATCAGTCATTTGGCTGGCAGCCCAGTGTCCAATTTTCATTTTGGAACATCAACTCACGCTTTTAAATACAAGTAGCAAAGACACCTGACACTTTAACCTGTTTCACATGTACAATCCAGTGGTATTGTGTTCATCATGTTATGCAACTCTCACTATTATCTGTTTTCAAATTGTTTTCTCATCGGTGCCTCCTAAGCAGTGAGTCTCCTGCCTCATACCTCCCAGCCCACTCCTGTGACCACTAAAAAACTTAGGCCTGTGTATACTTACTTCTTCTAGACAGTTCAATTGATAGTATCCTTTGTAACTAATTTATTTTACTAAGCAGAATGTTTTCAAGATTTATACTTGTGTATCCTACAACCAGATCCTATACTAATATTATAAATAATATTCCACTGAATGGATGTACCACATTTTGTTTCTCCATTTTCTCTTGATGAACATTTAGGTTGTTCCACTTTTTGGCTATTGTAAACACCACCACAGTGAACAATGATATACAAATAGCTGTTTTCATCCCTGATCTCAACTCTTTTGAGTATCATTTCAGGAGTGGAACTGCTGGATCAAATGGTAACGCCACATCTAACTTCTTGCAAAATCACTAGGTTGTTTTTCACCTCAACTGCACCATCTGACAATCCCACCAACAGTGGAGGAAGGTTTAAATAATTATTTTTTTCTAAAAAGTCATTTTTTAAAGTTATGATTCAAATTCCTTCCACCCTCAAATCAAGGCAATACTTTGGGTGACATTTGGGTTACAATGAGTCAGAGGCCAGTTCTGCACCCGGGTTGCCCAGGAGCAGGCCATTAAGGACTCCATAGACTTGTGCACTAGAAGGCATTGCCAACCATGGGGTACAGTGGGCAACGCACCCCAGAGTGGGGGTACCAGGTGATGAGCAGTTAGCTTCTTTTCCAGGAGGCCCATTCAAGCTAGATGAAGGACCCCAGGTCCTAGCTGGACCCAAAACCCTACCTTTGATATGCTGTATATCCACTCTGACCTCCTCTTTCTCATTGAAGGGTTGGATCTGGGTTCTGGCCACCTTGCTGGTTCTTAAGAGAGTATTGGGAAGGAGGAAGTGAATTGCTATCTCATCCAACTCAGAGCAGCATGGTGAAGACCTCAGTGCCCTACTCCTGCTGGGACAGCCCCTGTACTTCCCTGTGGGCCTGGATGTGAGCCATGGCCCAGGCCTGCGATCAGATTCAGCCTGCCATGGCCCTGCTGTTGGGTAGAGAAGCAACCTTTGTACCTACCGCTACTTCCTCCTTATTCCCACCCATATCACTCTCGGTGGCTGCAGGGCTAGGCCACAGAGACCAGGCCCTGAGCAAGCCACTTCCCTTCTTGAGACCTGGTTTCCTCACTGGGGGTCATGGGGAAGGGAGGGGCAGGAGGCTGACCTCTCTCTTGACCTATCCTCAAAGGTCAGCCCATCACATCCTACCAGGTCAAGAGAGGGTGCCCAGTCCTGGTTTGAGAACCCTGAAGAGTTTTTCAGATCAGAAGGGGATTCACATTCCACCTGTAACCCTGAAAAGTCATGTGACCATTGAGACTCTATTTATCAACCTGTGAAAACTGGCCTGATTGTTCCCACTATGTAGGGTTTGTCCTGAGAAGCAAATAAAATAAATTAGTGCATAAGATCACTGCTTATCCTGAGGCAAGTACTGGCTAGGGTTTAAAAACACAAACAACACCCACTGACATCAAGTAAATTCCAACTCATAATGACCCTCTGTGGGGTTCCTGAGGCTGGGGACCTTTACTGGAGGAGCGTGGTCATCTTTCTCCCAAGGAACAACAGGT